AAAAAAATTAAAAATTAAAAACCTAGATATATCGATATAGAGTGGTTTAGTTAATTTTCTTTCATACTGATCCTATTGTTTTTGCTCAATTGTATGAGTATACTATGGTTCATTCAAAATCATATTCTTCTCTCACCTGATAGCTAACTAGATCAGTGTTGGGAGGACTTTTTTTCTGTATCAAAGCTCCAGATGAAGGGATTCGTAAGTCTATTTTATCGGAAGACGACGGCTGCTTCCCATCCTTGCACTAAAATACGAAGTTCAGGTTAACGTAGACCATGAGACATCCTCCCTTGTTTCAAGTGCAAAAGGGCTGAGATTTTGTCCATCATATCAGTATAGGCAGATTTCAGAGTTGGAATTCTTTCTGGTAATACCTTCAAATTAGTGCTCCATCATGAAGTCTATCCGGCCTTATTCTACATGCTATAAATATTTATAACTTAAAATAAAATATCTAAGTTTATAATGATTTAATTGATTCTCTTACATAATAATTTGTTTTTCGTTTTTAGCTATATAAATATAGATAGATAGATAGAAAAATATATATATATAGAGAGAGAGAGTAGAGCAGAATAGTGTTAACTCAAAGCTTTTGCAAAAAATGAATTCCAAATCCGACGATGTTCGCCATATGATAGACGAAAGCTCAATCTATGTTTCACACCAAACTGCGTCGTATTAGAGCCAAACAGTCGCAAAACAACGGGATTCAGCCGAAGTCTTCTGGTGAGATGGACCTACGAACCTCTTAATCATGCAAAGAAATGTGGGATTAAAGTCTTAAGAGATTGATCGAAATCCGGCTACTTTTCATTTGCACCAGACCATTGTTCCGCTAGTCAGTCACTTCAAAGTGTAGGTCTCCTGTTGTCGCCTGATTCTGACCAACATACATTCTCCCTCTTGCGAAATGACCAATTGTCTTCCGAATACTGTGGCCCCGAGTTGTGACCACGTACCGCAAGAAATGTGTAAATAACTGGACACCAAAGAATGTGGAACATCTATTCTTTTCATAGCAGAACCTACAGTTCGATGTCCGCAAAATACCGCTTGCCTTTGTTTCGATCAGGGACATGGTATTCAACTCGAAGTTTAACATGTTCCGTAATCCACATTGTTTGATTCGAATAGATGAATTACAGCATTCGAAAATTTTATATATAAAATGGTTTCGAGTAACAAAGAAGGAGCATATTTCCAAACTATCCGTAATAATTTAAATAGAACTTGGTTGTCCTAGGATGCTTAAGGTGAGTTAAGAAATGATAGTGAGTTTTTCCCACACTAAAATTAACAGGCCTTACTATACCAACTAATTTCGTTCTTCCTACACCCCAAAAATGCACCTCGTCCACACTGTGCTATACATTTGGTTTCGCTCAGGCCTCATCAATTTCAAGAATTGCTGATAGTTGAAAAACTAGCACTGTCGATTTTAATGTAGAATATGCGTTTGCCTCTTCGAAAAACCCTGTTCTTATGTGACTTGAGAAAGGCTCGGTTGGTAGAAAAAACTCCATTAAAACCATTAATTCTCCTAAGAGACCAAAATTGCCTAGATATTATTCAAGAAAATTATTGTCATCGTTCGATGTCTGCCTTGATTAGACAATACTAGAACTTTGTTAAGGAACCATGAGAAGGGCATTTTTTCCAAGAGCACATATTTGCAAGGAAATTGTGTTGTAGTACTATTAAAAATGCCGATCTCACTGCATAAAAAATTGCTAAATTGGCATAGAACACTAGTTTGGAGACGACGGATCGGCCACCCACCCGAGGAGCAATTGTAAAGAATTATTTTTATATTGCCTTTTTCAGTACGGACAAGTTCAATATGAAGGCATGCTCGAGATACTATACAACCGAGATCTTCGCACACCCAGCCGCGACCTACAAGTTCCGATCAGCTGCATCTCATCTCGACCCAAGCACCGCTCTCCAATGGCAACAGATCCTTTTGGATTAAATCCTGTTCGAATTCCAGGCTCTTCAGCTTCTTTGATATCATCAACTTCTGCCATCAGAAGAGAAAACGGAGATGAGGATCGGTTAATGTCTGGCACTGGTCTTCTTTTGACAAGGTATTGTTCCAACTGCAATTTTAGTTCAATTACTTAAGTGATAAGGAAGGCGCATTGTAGGCCGTTTGGAATTAGAGTAGCTGACAATGGAGCCTCTTCAGATGAATTAAAATAAAGCAAAATAGACACTAGCATCTCTTTTGATAACATCTTCAATGAAGATATAAGTAATCTACTCTAAACTGCTCTACACGATATCTTGATACCAAGCTAAATGAAATATTTTACATATATGTATATATAATCGAAGATATGAAGATCAAGATGATGTGGCCTTTTGTATGGTCGCGGTTTCCTTTAGTTGTATATATATATATTATTTCTTCAAATAATATATTTTGTAATGTCATAACTGGGAATCTCTAGGATATTTCACAAAAGAGGTTTTACCCCAGCTTGGGTGAGAAAGCAAAATTAGTTAGTCCTATTTCTCCTTTGAATTAATAAAGTAAAAACATGTACATAGCGACAGATTATTTCGAGGCTATATTTAGCAGAAGTGATGTCTATATGTACCAATTTAAAATGGTTTTATTGCATTGAATGATAAAATATATATGAAACTTGAATTTCGCATAGAATTTATAGCACTATGAATCACAAGAGGCTACTTTCACTCCAGTCGGAGTGAGGTTTCGACCTTGTCATAATGAGAATTGACTTTTGAAATGCAGAACGCTGGAAGATGTACTTCAAATTCTACTCTTCTCTTCAATTCACTGTGAGCCGCTTCGTTATCTATCTGATAAACTCATTTAAAACCGACGAAAACACATACGAAATTAGCTAGTTAAGCCAAAAGGGTACTTTGTCTACGTTGGTAAACTAGCGTAGATGATATAATATGTTGATACAACTTTCCTGTACTTAATGAAAGTAACCAGTTGTGGATATGCCCTTACCTGCCTCGAGTAAGTTTGATAATGACTACATAAAAACGCTGTATTTACATCATAGTGAGCGAAAGTGGGCAGATAGTTTTGCACAGAATAATACAATTTTATTTACTTCATGAAATAAAATTGAGTTTTGATAATAAAACTC